ATAAAATTGAATTATATTCTTTGAATTCCCATCTTTCTATTCGTATAAAAAAAAATTAAGGTTGACGATGAAAATTGTAAGAAATCATGCTTACAAAATCGTAGTTTTAAGACGGGTTAGATAGGAAATGCAAGCTTAAGCGATATACAACCTACTGCTGCACTTGTATAAATAACCCGTAAGGTGTAAAAATTATACTATCTTGTATATATTATTACGCAGTTTTGGATAACATGAGAAAAGTGTCTTGTTATCGAACAAAATCTTTATATAATCGGAGACTAAGTATACAGTTGCGAGTGCAAGTCAGCTCTCAGCTGTCTGCATTCTGCAGAGTACATACATATAGGTATAACTACTCTTGAACTTAGGAGCGTACCGTAACAGTTCATCAATTAGGGCACCATAAAACTTTTTTGTTTTTTTTTATATTAACTTACTAAAGTAACAGATAAAATGTAGAACATGGCTTACAAAAGTCTCTACGATAATTTTATACCATATTTTAAAGAAAATAATGATTAATTTTTAGTCTCCCCATTTTGATACGGCACAAGGCGCTGGAGTCACCTTAATAGCGTTTCAAAACACGCACAAAATAAAGCTTTTAAATCTGAACTTTTTTTCCATTATTAGAGGGCATCTAATGGTCTTGGAAACTTTTTTCAGGAATTAAATTGTAAGCATTAATTACACACAGCTATGATCAAAACTTGGAGAAAAAGTTTTTAGAAGTTTTTCTACAATTTCCAGAAACAAGAAAGGTGTTCTGCAAAAACGTCGGAGAAATCGACAAAACTGCATGTAGATATGCATGTAGATATTTTTGAAATAAGAAATCGGCTTGTACACAAATAAAAATGGAAAAATCACATTATTTTATGTGAAAATTACTGCAAAAGTCAAATACATTACTCAAACATTACGGCAGAATGTCACGTAGATGTAGACAAAATTTGAAAGGCTGTGTATAGATATGCTATATTTTCTGAAACTCAATAAATCTAATAAAAAAATAACGAATTATGTTCTAATATTTTTAGCTGCATTAACCGCAAATAGCGAAGAGCAAAGAAGACTACATCACAACCTTATAACAGTACGTCACGTAAAAAAAAATACAACAGATTACATTAATTATAATAAAATTTCAGCATTAAATTTGAATATCCTCTCTTACACACAGACACCCACACACACACACACACATGGGCGCTCGCGTATACATATTTGTGCATGCATGTATGTATGTATAAAAGTACGTTAATATCGCTTACCAGAAACTTTATCGTGTTTCTCTGCTAACTCAGCTAAATACGACTCTGTCGTCAGCGATATGAAATAGTACCTTCTTTGTCGTTGTAGTTCCACTCTAGATATCATATTCTTTCTAGCCAATTGTGAGTGGAAAGTTTATAGATTATCTCATTAAGCTGTTTGACGTATCTGCTGAAACTATAAAAGCAATAAGCATTTAATATTTTTAAAACACTAGTTGGCCCATTGAGTAAAGTAGTAGCTGTTGGGTATCCAAATGAAGGTCTTTTTACTTGGTTTCCTGCTCATATTCTTACCAGCTGTTTTTGTAAGTCAATGATCATCTACATTTTATATTATTAAATTAAAATTGTGAATCAAAAGTTTTTGTGTAGGCATACAAAATTTAACAAAAAAGTTCAACGGGTCCCAGTAATAGTGTAGAATTTTTGTTTGATTATTATTTATAATAAACCAACAAGCTTTAATTTCCATTCGTAAAAATAATATTATAAAATTATTCATTAACTTAATTAACGCTGACTGCTCCAAGGCCAATAACTATTTGAACTTGATCAAATTTAGTCTCTGTCTCCCAACCACATACTTAATGTATTGATTTACTTTAAAAACAAAGTCACCGTAGAGTTATATTACGTCTGTGGATGGACATTATTGAAAAAACTAAAAAATATTGTTTATGGATCATGGTAACCGCTAGGAATCTACTTTATACTCCAACATTTAAGCAATAATGATCTTAAGGAGACATTTGCCTATAGTCCCTTAATCTCTTTAATCATTTTGCTGTAAGTTTTATAATGTACGTCATCTGCCTGACTTAACAAAATATACTTTGATATGCGTTAATAAATAAATAACACGTCTTATTTGCTTTTTTAGTGCCATAGTCTTTGTTGCATATAATCATTATGTACTTACACATGCAGTAAATTCATCTATTACGATGAGTAAACATTTTTTGTTTCTTGTCTTTTTATTCATCCATCCTAAACGATATTTGTATTTTTTTTACGTGAGCTACTGTTATAGGTTTGTGATGTAGTTCTCTTTCCACTTTGCTATTTGCGGGTACTGTAGCTATAAGTTTTAAAACATAATTCGTGATTTTCTCATTAAATTTATTGAGTTTCAAAAACTATAGCATTTCTATAAACGGCCTTTAAAATTTTGTCTACATCTACGTGTCATTCCGCCGTAATGTTTGAGTAATGTATTTGACTTTTGCAGTATTTTGCACATAAAATAATGTATCTTTTCCATTTTTATTTCTGTACAAGTCCATTTCTTATAACAAAAATATCTACATGCATTTCTCTCTACTTAGTTCGTTAGATTTACTTGTTTTGGTGTTGTTTTTAACTCGCAGCTGAACTCAATACTAAAGTTGTAGAGATAGCAAAAAAATATGCAGCCACATAAGTTTTTAAGTACAAACGATGTCTAATCATTACTGGAGTCTAACAAATATTATTTGTCGTTGATTTTTTTCCATAATAGTTACTTTTTAGGCTACCTAATGGTATTCAAATGATTTCTTTGAAAAATAATATTACAGGGTATGTTTGCTGGCACTCTCGATGGCATTTTGCACAGAAACGAAGACGAGTGCATCGAAAGAAGCAGAGCTAGTTATTGTAAGTTTTACATGTTGATCAAAAGAGTGGTATAACACAAAATAATATTCGTAGTTTTGATTAAACTGTGCTTAAAAATGTTAATTTTATAAATGTATTGTTTGAATTAGCGGAAATCGAACAAGTTAGGCTAACTCAAGAAATACCAGAAAATGATCAAATGAAGGAGTTTGCAAAGTGTATGATGGAAAAATTTAATGTAGTGAGTATCAAATGCTACAATAAATGATATTTTTGTTTTATATGGACCTAGCTTGTAAAAAAATTATATAATTTTTACTGTTCAGATGGATAACAGTGGATCCGTCAACCAAAACATTCAATCATACGGGATTCCTTCCGATGTCCCAAACGTATTCGTAGACGTGGCTAATAAATGCAAAACTGAAAGTAAGTTTATTAAAGTTGTTACACTAACTTTTCTGTTGGACAAATTTCACTAATGAAACAAAAACTTACAGGAGGTAGTAACAGTGGAGAGACCGCCAGAAAAATCATGAGTTGCTTTATCAAAAATAACCAGATAGTTATGGGCATCGCACGTAATCCCAAGGCCTAATGACTACTCACAATTGAAGAAGTTTCGACATAGGTACTATATTTTTCATGGCAACTGACGTATTGTACTTTTAGATATTATTAAATAATTTTTATAAATATTTTTATTATTCAATGTACTATTAACTATAAATGTAATGAAGGCGGAATAAGCACAACATGAATTTTTTCTATTACTAATTGCCAATGAAAGTTAATTAATGAGGTTTATACTTTTTGTCAATTGAGTATACTAGTAAAGAGTAATTTAGTATTGTTGAACCATTAGAAATCCGCGTAGATTTTTTTTTCAATCAAGTTTAAAGAAAAATTTTTTAATCTTCAGAGTAGTGAAGTAATGAATTGTGACACGATCTCATGTAGGTCAATTCTCTTACTATTACTGTTAGTGGAGTAAAATTAGAAATTTGGTGGTGGATTTGATAGCAAAAACACGATGAAGTTGTGTTCCAGGATTAAAGTACTTTTAAACAGCTGATTCGATAAAAAATAAGAATTTGACGATTAAGGTTGCTGGTACATCTGTTCAATAAGACGATAAAAGTATATAACGGTACTGATATACCTGTAACACAACTCTATCGATTGAATCATGGCAGGGTTGATGCTTCCAACCTTAAATAATTTGGCAATTCATTTTCGAAGTAAACCCGCAGAAGATCGTGATGTCACATTGTCGTTCTTTTCATACCAAGCTGCCTGTGCCTATCCATCCCTAAGTAAGAGAGAGAGTGAGAGATTTATTAAGCCTTAAGTGGCCATTATTTCTTACTTTCAAACAATTCTATTTCCTTAATCGAAATAATAAGCTTAATAAAATCTTGTTGAAATTAGGAAGTTTCCATAAAACGTAGAAATTTTCCAATACATTGATTGGGTAAGTCCGATCCACTGATGCTTATTAGTACTGGGAACAGGTTGTTTAAGTAATCCTCTTTCTTATTAAGGTGGCTCCAGTGGCCTCAATGTTAAAATTATAAATAACCCAACCGAGGTTAATAAAATTGAATTATAGTATTGGAATTCCCATCTTTCTATTCGTATAAAAAAAAATTAAGGTTGACGATGAAAGTTGTAAGGAATCATGCTTACAAAATCGTAGTTTCAAGACGGGTTAGATAGGAAATGCAAGCTTACGCGATATACAACCTACTGCTGCACTTATATAAATAACCCGTAAGGTGTAAGAAATATACTATCTTGTATATATTATTACGCATTTTTCGATGACATGAGAAAAGTGTCTTGTTATCGAACAAAATCTTTATATAATCGGAGACTAAGTATACAGTTGCGAGTGCAAGTCAGCTCTCAGCTGTCTGCATTCTGGAGAGTACATATATATAGGTATAACTACTCTTGAACTTAGGAGCGTACCGTAACAGTTCATCAATTAGGGCACCATAAAACTTTTTTGTTTTTTTATATTTACTCACTGAAGTAACAGATAAAATGTAGAATATGGCTTACAACAGTCTCTACGATAATTTTATACCATATTTTAAAGAAAATAATGATTAATTTTTAGTATCCCCATTTTGATACGGCACTAGGCGCTGGAGCCACCTTAAATAGCGAAAGTCGGAGGTTGCCGACCGAAAAAAAAAACATGACGTGTTGAAAATCCCAAACTGAAAGTTAACCTCAGGACATAAACAATTGGATTCATATCTATAAGTATACATATCGAACCTTTTATTTTTAATGCTTTCAGGCGTGATAATCTAACGTCACACAAACAGATAGTGCTAGGATGGTGAGTCACCTTAAGGGGGCTCCTTCACGAAAGTCCCCAAACAGAGATATATTATTTCTTGTAAATAAAAGTCTACTGAATTTAATGGTGGTCTAAATTATATTTCGAGTGGGTCAAAATTTTGAGAAATCCGAGCTCAAAGTTGTAACTATTAGCACGTGTTCCTATGGGGCAGCGTGAAAAACAATTTGTTTTTGTTTATAATAAACCTAAATTAAATGCCCCAGCAGACTGAATATATACGTTTTGTAGATGAAGTCTTCCTCTGTAATATGCTGTATTAAAAATTGTGGATAAAGGACCGTTTTAGCGAGATATTTGTGATGGAAATAAATAAATAGTGTCCGGGAGGTCAGGAGGTCACGTGGGTAGCAGACGTACTTGTTTACGACATATATATACCATATACCTATATATTACATCGCTATACTACACCAACACAGGTGGTCTGTTCTGGTGGTGTACCCTCGTATGCACTAGACTGGTCAAAACAATAATTAATTTTTTGTACAAAGTTAAACTACACACATAAATATCATTTTTCCCACTTCATACGTTATTAAAAATATCATAATGATTTTCAGACACATTTGTTTATTGAAAAACAAAACTTTATTTTTTGTTTGTCTTTGACCTCAGCAGTAGTCATAGGAGCCCCCTTAATATTTCCTCCTACACATCACACTCTCAGTGTCATTCCAGGTTTGGATGATTGATTATTTACATAAGTTATTATCTTTTAATTAACATATTAAATATTATGTCGTGTAGGAGCGCGAAGAGGTAAGTTTGAGAAAACAGAGAAAGCCTCGGCGACTGTACTACTATTTACTTCAGACTTGCACACTCAAATTTTCAAATATCAAAAAATAAGTATTTTTGTCGGTATGCCTGATGTATTTTGATATAATTCAGTCTATTTAGTCCTATTTCACAGCTTTACTGACAAATATAGTCCAGATAGTCGTAAGAACCACGAAAACGAGGCATGTGTATCTCAAAATGCTCAAAACAAGATTCTTTTAGACTCAGTGAAATGTTCTTATCGTAAAGTTAGCTGCAAGCCAAATTTTCCGTGTATATAATTGGGATAGGCGTCTTAATCAAAATTAAGCAGAGCTGCCAACAGTGTGATATTAGCTACAGGTACTTTCTATTTTTTCAGTAGATAGCACGCAGCGTTGGGACTTCTCAGTGGCTAAGATGGTAGAGCGCTTGCTTCCCTTCTGGGTTCGAGAGCCTGCTCCGTCACTTCCTCCCGGGTAACTCTCTGGTGCTTTTTATACGACCTAATCACTAGGATATCATATAAGTAGGAAATCGGTACCTATGTAGCATTTTACCCTGTCATGCAGATTTGCAGATAATAGTAAAAAATAACGATGCCTCAGAAGAGGGGGGACGAGTGAATGACTCTCTCATAGTAAAACCGTCCCGTAAATAATCAATAATACAAATATTGAAGTATATGTAGTGAATCGAAGTGGTATATGTATGTAATTATGTACTCATGCACACCCATTCAACAAATTCAGACAATACGTAGTTGTGTCTTTGTCTTTGTTTTTGTGGTTGGCCTTGTGTCACTGACTGTGACATTAGGATACATACTAAATCTGTTTATTTATGTTTTTAAATATATATATACTCGAGAATTAATCATTCGAGGCACCGTTAATTCTTACTGCTCTGACGGCATGGTACGCATTACACCGAAGAGCCAGGCACCGTTTCCCTTACTCTTAGATGGCACAGTAGCATTACACCATAAGTACTGACTAGGAGCTCCACAACGTTTGGGATACTTATGTGGAAAAAATCCCCAAGGTACCCGCGAAAAAGTGATGGAGCGGAATCTGGAACTCAAGCGCTCTACCACTGTGAGATCAGACGTGGCGTTGCTAAGGTAGGATACTTATTCAGCGGCAAATTCAAAATCTGCATGAAAATTTAAATATCTTGAATACATCAATATCCTATTATTCAATCCTAAATTTTGAACGCCTTAATCGTAAACACATTAATTTCAGTATCTGAATAAGGGTTTGTACTAAATTAATTAATTATTAGCAATAAATAGTATAATTTTTCAGTAACAGTGGTAAGTTATTGCTCATACTGTACTAATGGTCTTTGTAGATAAACTATGTAAAGAGTTTGATTTTTATGATATTTTGGTTGGTACTTCATGCAAACCTCACCAGATAACTATGATGGTTGAGTCAAGCTTCGAAAAAAAGGAAAGTACCCCCAAAAAAGAGTTTTATAACTATCCTATATGCAAAGCTTATAATACATTTATAGTTTACCTTCATATTCTTGCTAACACAACTATTATTAATTATTTATTATGCAAAATATATATAAAAATGTAACTATTTCTGTTAAATTTTACTATCAGGAAAAATAGTATTCAGGGAATAGGATCCAGGAGATGGTTTTTAGGTAAAAAGGTGTTTGATAAAACGACATTCAGATGGATGTTAAAGCTCACAAATAAGAAAATATCAATGAAGAAAAATTATTGTCATAATACACATTTTCAACCTAAATAGTTTGGGTTTAATTTCTGACTTGTTGCTTTACAGCTGAAAAGATCAATGGATAAAAATCGTAGAAAAAATTTAAAATGATTCTTAACAGTTTAAGTAACGTAAGTACCTTTGGATTTTACTTTATTAGTACTCAATATGTCATGATAATAAGCTTTCTAAGCAAACTTTTTATTTGTAATTAATGAAAGAAAATAATAATCTAATGCTTCCTTTGTCTTTTTTTTATTAATTGAAAAGTGCACTGAATAATCAAAATAATCATCTAGATGCCATAAATCATAAAAGTGTTATCTATCATCTCGTGTAAGGGTTTGATTTTGTCACAAATTTTTTTAATTTATGACTTGTTTTCAAGCTTTTGGATTACGGAGCTCACTCAAAACTTTTTGGCCACCTTTCATAAAATAGTTCATAATTTTCCTGGCAGTCTCTCCGCTGTCACTACCACCTGTAAGTTTTTTTTATGTCAGATTAGTACAATTTATTCAATAAAAAAGTAGAAAGTAATAGCTTTTATAAACTTACTTTCAGCTTTGCACTGATTAGCCACATTTGTATATACTTTTTCATCATTAGAAGGAATTTCGTATGTGTAAATGTCTTGGTTAACAGATCCAGTGTTATTCATCTGCAATTATTAAATTAAATTTTACAAGTTAAACTCAAAACTATAAAAAATATTTATTTGCTGTAGCACTTGTTACTCACTACATTTCTTTTTTCCAGTACACATTTTGCAAACGTCTTCATTTGATCATTCTCTGGTATTTCATGACTCAGCCTCATGTGTTCAATTTCAGCTAATTAAAAAAACACAATACAAATAATTATAACTTTTCGAAAAAATTTGATCAATATTATACATAAATTAATTTTTTTAGTTGACCCTTTTAAGTAACACATAATAATTACAATAACTAACCTTGCTCCTTTCGACGCACTCGTCTTCGATCATGTGCGAAATGTTAGGAGGTGGGTAAGCATAACAACCCTAGAAATTATTCTATACTAATTCATCAAAGAAATCAGTAAAAAACGATTAGATTGCTATGAAGGTTATGTCTTATAAAAATTCCTCAAAAAAATAAGTAATGTTGAGCCCAAGTAATGGATTAGATACTATTATTTCATACAATTTATGTAACTATAAATTTTTTCTATTAATTAGTCTTATCTACACATAATAAAATTTTTTCCTGTTTTTGTATAAATTTCTGTACTTTGATAGTAATAGTTGGAAAATTAAACATATAAAGATTTGAAAGCTTAGACAAAATTTTATTAAGTTTAAACAGTTTTGGATTTGAAAGGACCAGCATTAACTAATTTTATGGATAATATAACTTTTATGTATTTCTTCGGCCTGAGATGATTTATCGTAAAAATTTTCATTCACACAATAAAAAAGACGTACGATA